TGACAGAGGCAGCTCTGCTTAAATGTTGATTCTGATGGTGGTCAGAAGCCTGTCTATGTGAAACAGACAAAAGGTTATTTTCAATTAAGCAATTTTTGCATTTGTTTCCTTTAAAATTTGCAAGTGAAAAGAATGTCAGCCATCCCATTCACCAAGTATTAAGTTCAAAAAATGCCTTCTGTTAAAAATACACAAAAGTTTCTATCTAGGATGATGATAATTAGGAATTTTATTTCTCTAGGTCCTTCCAGAATTGCCCAGAGCAAGGTATGAAAAAGTACTAGAAGCACTCATAGAAAAAACCATTATAACTCCAACAGTGCTTAAAAACAAATACTAATATTAAAACAATACCCATTTTTTAAAAGCAGAACAGCAAAATACTAGGCAAACTGTAAGAGAATTGCGTCCTCAAGTAGTTGATCTCTGAGCAATGCCCTGGTGATCCCTTCCATTGTCGTCTAAGAAAGAGCCGGTATGGGTCTGCCAAACTTGCTTCAGGAGAAAGTTTCACCCCTGAGGAACTGCCCAAAAAAGACCCTTCTGCTGGCCACCCCACTGCGAGCTGAACCAATCTGTGGGATGCCAAGTAGGGTCCCTCCAGGTGATCTTGGTGCATAGCTTGGGTGGTAACGGAGGGAGGGGAGTCTTCTTTTATGGGCTTGGGTCCAGTCCCTGGAGATGGGGGCCTGACACTTGCTCAGCCCAACCTGCCCCACACGGGCAGGGGTGGGGAAATAGAAAGCAGGAGCACTGTATTCACCATCTTGAGGTTCTGAAGGATTAGAGCAATATAAATTTAACAAGTAAATAGATAAGCAAATAGAATCTTTGGGCTTGAACTCCCATTAGCCCTAGAGCATGGGGAATGGCAGGAGATCGTGGGAGCTGCAATCCCAGGAACGGGAAGGTGACAGTCTGTTACTTCTCACTTGGCTTTGTGTGCAAGGAGCATGGGTGGGGAGCAACATGAGGAGATTTAGCACCAGCCTGTGGCTTTTTGCTTTCAGAGGTAGTATCCAGATGACAGTTCCCATTAAAACCATTTCAATTATTGACCATCAGCACCCAGACAGTTCAAAGGTTATCAGTCATAAAAACTTGGCTGCTCTTTCAAGACAGCCAGAACTGGCTGTCTGAGGCAGCCCCCTCAGTTCCCTCATGGTAGGGTGGCTCTGGGAGGTGTTCCCTGTAACTGGAAACCATTTGCCTTCTTCCTGCCTGTGTATGTGTGGGGAGTAGGAAAAAAAGGTTTGAAAACAGCTGAGCAAAAGAAAGGGAAGCTGAAGATAAGTTAGATCATTTCTCCTCTCTCATCTGTGATTTCTGTGCAAAGCAAAAGCCCACCTCACAGCTGCTTCATGTCTGAAGAAGAGGGACAGAACTGACCATTTTTCTTTGGCCTCAATGATGCTTTCCTGTGGTTTCCAGAGCTACAGGGAAAAACAGATCCCATGGCCCAGATGTGACAGCAGGGAAAAAGTAAAACCCAGCTCTCGATAAGCTTTTGTCTTTGCCCAAAGCAACACACACACACACACACAGCCACAGTTCCATGCCCTATGCTAAGAAGCTGCCCTTGGAGGGATGCAAATAAGGTTAGATTTACATCTTGCTCATATACTCATTTATATTGCATTTTATTAGGCCCATTGTCCAGATGTGGGACAACCTCATATTACTGCAGTGTTGCAAACATGACACCTCCACAATAGTAGGCCATGAGGTTGAGCGCTCTCCTGTGCCACCTGATGTCTCAGTGTAGCCTTCTCAATAGGTGCAGAGGAGCACACACAAACACAGAATGTGGGGAGAAAGGATCACTGGGCTGGAAGGGGTCAGGCCACCCATCTCGAGCCTGGTTCCTTCTCGGGAATAATTTGACAAAGAGCAACAGCTGAGCCAGTGGCACAGATGGATATTAAGCTAAAAAAAAATGGATTAAACACTTGGATTTACAGCATCAAGCTCAATGTAGCCAAACGTGAGGGGCTCGCTAGGAACCCCATTTATTCTTTTCTACCTGCCTAGGACTGCCAAACAGGGTGAGAATAAGCTTGTCATCCTCAGAGTTGCTGAACAACCAGCAGATCATCATAATAGCAGGATATCGTAGGAGGAGGGGGAGGTCTATTTGCTTTTATAACTTGCTTTAGTTTCTTAGCTGGCTGTTGGGGGAAGAAGAACATCGGATCTTCAGTTTGATCTAGTGGTTTCTAACTCTAGTTAACCAGAAGCAGCCTTCAGGCATCATGCTAGGATTCAGCTGGACGTGCTGAGCCAGTACGAGCTTAGGAACTCTCAAGAGATAAATACAGATACAAACACTGCAGGAACTTTAGCCCCATGTTCTGTTTACAGTAATGTTTCTCATGATGTGAACTGAGCTTCTCCTTAAGGAAGCATTTTATTAAAAGGAAGATGGCTAGGTATTATTGCTGCATCCCATGCTACCGGCAAAAGGATACCAATGCATATTGATAATTTACATACAAGCCATCACGGAGACTAGAGCAACTCATAAATGTACGCAGTTATGCGTCCATCTTGGTTAAAACACAGGCTGGCTCTTTTCCTGTTCTCAAAGATTCCACTGTGGGCCCAGTTGTGTTAAAGACCCCCATTGTGATGTAACCCCCACCACCTCATGGACACAAAGGTGATGTGTTGGTTCCTGTGGCAATGAAGAGGAGGAACAGAGGATTCTGGAGTGCTCAGTCAAAGGAACAAGCAGCAGCAGTGTGTGCAATGATTATCTCAAGTAGAGCTGGGGATAATATGAAAAGGCCGATCCTTCCATTGAAGAGCAAAACTGCATATTCCCAGCCTTGTTCCCTTATAGTTACCCTGCTCTTCTCACTAAAAGAAGAGGTTAGTGTCTCAAGACCTTTGTGGAAGGAAGATTCAGCTGCCCGTCCAGTCTGCTTCCGTACAGTTCTGAGTTGGATGTGCATTTTCTGAGCCTGGGTTAAGGTCTGGGTGACCCAAGGCTACATAAGATTAGCATTTTTAAAAAACGTTTTTATTTTAAGCACAATTTTGCTACAGAGGTTTCCATGAAGACAAGGCACCAGGTCACACCAGCTCTCTTAATTCACTCTTTCCCACAAGTCAAAGTCTGAAAGAAGGATGTGTTTGAGTGTGTGCGTGGATGTGTGTGCATGCACATAGGAGCCACAACACAAAAGAGATTCCACGGAATGAAATTTGACAAGAGGTTGGATGGGGACACACGATGAGGGTGTTTAATTTTGTGTGTTTTCACTGAAAGATAGGTTTACCCTCAATCTTTCAGCACAGTATCACAGAAGCAGCAAATGAGATGGTAAAAATGTTTCTAGACGTTTCCAATTGCAGATGGTGGAATCAAAGGTTTGAGTGCTTCCACCCAGGAGGGGGGATCACTGCATAGATGAAACTAGCATATCAACAAGGGTATGTCTGAATTTTCAGTCACCGTAATGGAAATGTGTATATTCATGTTCACGAGCATGTGAGTTTCAACACTCATGGCCTCACACTAGCTCATGGAGCCCTTTTCATTGCACACTGGTTTGTGTGCAAATATGTTGGCTTGTTTAAATCACAGCAAAATGGGGGAAGGCTGGTTTAGTGTCAATTTACTCACAGGATATTAAGCTTATCTCTAAATTCTTATAGTTTTTATTGATATGAAGCAAGAAAGAAGGAAGCAAGAGAGCCTGTATATCCAGGAATGGCTTCACCTCTGATAATGTTCTGTCTTACAACTTATAGTGCAAAATAGATTTAAAAAATTCAAACTATGTTGTTGGATGAAGTGCAAAAACAGATCACCTGTGATGCCAGCATCAAATGTATGCGGCAGAGTGGTCTTTCTTAATCTTAGCAAGTAGGGTTGGGTCCTATGAACATTTGGATGGGAGATCACTTGGAACCTCATGACTTTGAGACTGGCAAGTTCAAAAATATCCCAGAAGGCAGCAGTGGCAAACCACTTGCATACTGATGTGTTTGTGAAGTCCCCAGAAATCACGCTGAACTCAAAGGGGACTTAATTTTCTCTGAAAATTTATTTAAAAGTGTATTCATCTATGTGGGTCAACTCTGTTTTGCAGTTGCTATGAATTCTCAAGGTAACCCAAGGCATTAATTACCTATTAACTTCCTTTCGGTGCATGCATTTGATTGTGTGCGTGGACACCTCCCTGGCCACCATGAGGTTCCTTATCCAACATGACACTAATGTTTTGAAGATGTTTTAAATTAAAAAAAAAAAGCTAATTGGAAGTTGATATCCTGCAAAGCAAAGCACTGGTCTCTTTATTTCCCAACAAGACTGCCAGGTCCAGTAGCCATATTTAGAAAATAAAAATTCCTTGTGCTGCAACCCAGTTTTCTGCTTGGAAATGTGCGTTTGAGCCTAGATAAAAGAAGAACATCCCTCCTCCAAAACGTAATCTAGGATGATAAGGAACATGAGGGAGGGGGAGGTTTGAAGTGGTAGTGGGGAGCAACTCACCAATTTGCCTTCTGAAAATGGAAGTTTTTTGACCTGGCAACCATTTAGTCCTAGAGAGCCCCGGATATGCTGTCTGAATGGCCTCCGACACAAAAGAATTGTCTGCCTGCTCCTGCTTCTATACCTGTGGAATTCAGGGTGCTGGGGAATCACTACTGATTTCAGTGGACCTAATCAATCATTCACTCTTGTTGGGGAGTGTTGGCAGGACTTAGGACTTTCTGACTGAGACTTCCTAGCATTTCACTGATCTACAGTTCCCAGGCTCTTTGGGAAAAATTACAATAGGTTGAAATTAGGGTTGGGTGTAAAATGAATTCAGTTGCACCATAGCAAGGGCTTCTGATCACTAGATGGTAGCAACAGTATGAAGAACAAGCCATCTCTTTGCTGCTTTCTGGTGGCTGTCCAGGTTTTTGCAGCCCAGATTTGGTAACCCTGCTGTAGCCTTCTCCTTGCTTCCTTGACCTCATCTCTGTCCTTTTAGGCCTCTTTAACATCACTCTCGCTTGATGCCCACTGCTGCTGCTGCCACAACAGCCACATTCCGCACCCGCTTTCCCTGGTGGGTCTTGACATGCTTTGCCAGGTGGTCACTCCGCATAAACCTCTTGGGGCACAGCTGGCAGCCAAAACGCTTCTCCCCCGTATGCGTCCGAAGGTGCCTTTGCAACTCATCTGAGCGAGTGAAGCTCTTCCCACAGTACAGCCAGGAGCAAATGAAGGGGCGCTCACCCGCATGCCAGCGGAGGTGGGCCTTCAAGTGAGAGGTTTTGCCATAGACCTTGCCACATCCTGGCAGATGGCAGACATGTTGCTTCTTCCTGCCCGGCTCCTCATGGGGCCTACCGGCTTCCTGACAATTGGGACATTTGCAGCGCCGGCAGCGGCGAGCTGTGCTCAGCAGCCCCTTGGGAGGGCTCTGCAGGAAGGGTGCAAGGGGCGGCTGGGGGCTGAGGACTAGTGGATGTCCCAGAGGGAAATTGCTTGGCTGCTGCAGGGTCCACCAAGGGGCATCATCAGTGGAGGGGGTGCCTGGAGGAGCAGCTGGACCCAAAGGCCATGGACCTTGCAGAAAACTGGAGGAGTCCTGGGCTTCCGGGAAAGTGTATGAGGGATGCACTGTGGGCGCCAACATCTTGACGGGTGACCACTCCAAGGAGTAGATGGCCTCAGCTGGCGGCGTCAGCGGCAGTTCATGGGCTGAGGCTGAGGCACTGCCATTGCTGACCACCATCTGCCCATGATATGGCATCTTGGGTCGTCCAAAAGCCCCGGCTGTATGAGGGCATGATGGCACCTCATTGCTCCAGAGCTGAAACATCCCCACAGACTCATAGGACCCTGGAGGGCTGGTTGAAGAACAGGGAAGCGGAGGTGCAGCTCGGAAGGCCAAGGTAGGGTAGTTGACAGTGATGTCCTCTGGAGATGTGTTGGGAGACCGGTCCTGAAGCAGAGCAAAAAAAGACTGAGCAAGAGTGTAGATGTTAATCATCCCAAATCCTTAACCAACCTACACTCAACTCTGCCCAAGCAAACCATCTTCTGTAGCACACTTGCTAATCTTGCATTTTGCATACATCCAATTATTATCTTTGTTTGCCACGCTAAGGTTACCAAGTGTACGACCTTTTTATCCTCCTCCCCTGTCAGGCACAGATCTTTGGCTCTGTGAGTAATGTTTTATCTAAGTCTGAAATTGCTATTATCTGTGATGGGAATTGTACCAAACATTTGTCATAGACTGCAAGTGCCAGTTTCCTCAAAAGAAAAATGGCTTGGACAATTCAGTATGTTTGGTCAGCACCTAGGGCAGGTCACTTCCTCTGACTCCTGAGAGGAAGAACAGGAGCATCCTGAGTTGGAAGACCAGATCTGAGTTTACACAATACACTAAGCCCTAATGTGGTATCTGATATTTTTGAACAACACTAAATAAGGAAGGAAGGAAGGAAGGAAGGAAGGAAGGAAGGAAGGAAGGAAGGAAGGAAGGAAGGAAGGATGTCACTTCATTTTATTTTATTTTAACCGAAGTCTATCTTAGAATTTTAGCTCTATGTCTTCATTTTATACAAACAACATTCTGTTTCTTAGTTCTAGAGATGTAGCTTACATTGGTAATAATAATAATATTCTGTATTATTCCTTTAGCTTGTGTTTTATATCTGATCCTTTACTTTTAAACAGTTTCTTCATTGTTTCATTCTATACTGGTCTTTGACTGAAATCATCTTTGACTTGACTATCTTTAACAGGTTGTGCTAGCCCAGCCATTTTGGTTTGTAATCTTATGATTTCATGTATTGAGCCCAGCTGTTAAGTGTCCGTTCCTAGCCATAATGGTGCCAAAATTAGGAAATGTGGATCATGATGTCATGATGGAAGTGGCATCCTTTTATACTCACAAATATGTAAAAGTCAGAGGTTGCATTGTGACATCACATCCATTTTGTCACTCCCCGCTCCCAGAAGGTGGCTATGAACCTGCCTGTGATTTATTTAGTAAACCAGGGTTAAGAACCCCATGGCTCAATGTTTTTTTTAATATATATAATTTTTATTAAGCATGTTTACATAAGTAAAAAGCAACTATAAAGGAAGATACGAAGAAAGAAAGTAAAGAGAAAGAAGAAAAATGCAAATGCAAAAAGCACAAACCATGGCCCAGTGTTAAGTGAATACAATTCAAGAGAAATAGATTTCTTCAGAAGCAGAAAAGGGGACCCTGACCCTGACCTCCGGGGAAACATTCTTGAACCCTAAAGATGTACCAAGTTCCTCCTCTAATTCTGAAAGGGATTACAGGTGACAAAGATACAGGCATAAGAGATGTGCAGGAGAAGAAGCCAAAGGTAGAATTTCTTCTTATTAATGAGCAAAGCCAAGAGGGCCTTTGCACTGATTCATTTTGTGTGCCAATTGTGCCCATCCCTGGACCAGGAGGCCCTTCCTACAGTCACTCATTGTGGCTGACTATTGCAATGTGCTCAAGTGGAGCTAACCTTGAAGACCACTCAGAAGCTGCAGCTGGTCCAGAATGAAGCAGCACAGGCAGTTGTGGGCATATCACAGTGCACCCAACATTTAACCTCTGCTTCATGAGTTGCACTCGTTGCCAGTGGGCTTTTTAGATACAATTCAATATGCTGCAGTTACAAGGCCTTTCCTATCATAGGCCTGTTTATTAGAGGAACCATCTGATTCCTGCAGCATCTGTCTGTCCTAGACATACAATCAGAGTTGGCATGCTTTCGGTCTCTTTAACTAAACAGTATCATCTGATAGGAAGTGGGGCTTCTCTCCCATGGCGCCTGCCCTCTGGAACAGCAGTGCCCCAGAAATTTGAATGGCCTCTACCCTGATTTCTTTAAGTGAGCCTTGAAAACCAGGCTGTCCCCCTAGGCTCTGGGTTAGTATGGTGGGCCCCTTTGGGAAGTTATATGAGAAGTTCAGGGATATGCTTTTAACTGCTCTCTCTGCATGTCGGTCACTTTCTTATTGGCTGTGTTTTTCTAAACTGTTTTTAACATTATGTGCCAGCCAGAGTCATTATGGACTCAGGCAATTTTAGAATTTTGACACATAAAGATATTTAAAGATATTTAAAGAT